TCTTCTGTGTATGCTGTTACTTGGTCCAACCCCTTCCGTGGTTGCTGCTGAGTCCTGTGGAATAATTAGCCAGGGTAACCGCAGTGCCCTTTATTGAGCACCTACTAGAGACCGGAGTCTGTCTTTGTGTTCATCCTCTCATTGCTTTTCACCTTCCTGGCACCTGGTGGGGTGGGCATCAGTGTTCCTTTCCTACAGAGGAAGAGCCCGAAGTTCAGGGAGGCTCAGTGACTTGCTGCCAGGGCAGTGAGTTGTCGGGGAATCAAACCGCAGATTCTCTGGCTCCAAAGCCCAGGTGCCTCCTGTTTGTCCTGGAACGTGCAACACTCTCTGCGCCTTCTCCAGGTTGTGTTGCTCACGACAGCGCGTGCCTGTTCAGTGTGGTGCGAGAAGGGATTGAGGATCGACCCTTCTAAAGATAAATATCGTTAAGGGCTTCTGATAGGCCAAAAGACAGACGCTGAAGTTCACAGGGCCCTTCCTGGACTTCTAGTTCAGGCACAAGTGTGCATCAGTCAGCAAAAATAGCAGAAACTCAGCCCCTACTCATTTAAGTGAAAAGATGATTTTTTTTTGATCACATGAATGAGAAGTCCAGGGAAGGGGACGATTTCAGGCAATGCTGGATCTAGGTGCTTTTTTCATTATAACCTGGCTTTTCTCTCTCTGTCCCTTGAGTGTTTCCTCCATGTTAGCTCTATTTTCAGACTCCCATCTCCACACCACTTGAATTTATATCCTGAGAGAGAGGAAGGGTGATTTTGCTGATTGGTTCTATAAAAATCCCAGCATGCATTCCAAGGAAGGAATCCAGGGATGTGGCAGCTCTAAGACTTGGGCCTCTCTGTTCCTGTTCTACTACCCTCAGCCCTTGGCTTTTGTCCTTATGGTCACCTCATGGTCCAATAGGGATGTTAGAGATCCAGCAATCACATCTAGGTTCCAGTAACAACAAGAAGAGATGGGTCATTTTCTCCCTTTTAAAGGAGCCTTCTCGAAATCCCCTACAAGGCTTTGCTTACATCTTTCTGGTCAAAATGTACTCATCTTGTTGCATCTTGCTGCATAGGAGGCTGAGAAATCAGTCTGTGTTCAGGGCCTGGACAAAGCTGAGGCGTGGGTAAGGTGGGTGGTTGGTGGGCCCCTGGATTTCTGTCCCCGTGGGCCAGCACGGATCCTGGAGCTGGGAAGCCTAGGGCGTTGGTGTTGTGCCCGGGTGGCCAGGTGGCTCCTCCTCTGTGACATGGGTCTTGCAAACAGTGCTCGGATTGGAGGCTGAAAGCTGTGGCTGCACACCCCAGCTGCCTCTTGTGCCTCAGTTTCCCCACCCGTGACCTGGGGGTGGGAAGCCCAGCCCCAGCAAGGTCTGGCTGTGAGCAGAGGAGACCGGCTCGGGGCAGCGTGGCCACCTCTTCCTGGTTTTCCGGGCATGGCTTAGCTTAGCGCTGGATGCTACCTGGAGACCCCCGGGAGCCCTCCCGTGCTGGGCGGGCGGGTGGAGGTCACCCTAAAAGCAGTGACTGAACTCAGAGATGGCTGCCGTCTGCAGGGGACAGCCCCTGGTGGGCTCAGCAGCACGGCAGGCCTTGCGTCTTTCAGATCCGCCATCCATCCTGGGTCACTATGCGTCCCCCGGGCTCCAGGGCCCCTCTTCGCAGCCTGGCCCCCGGGGCCGTGGCTGACGTGGGCTCAGGTGGGCTATTTGCTGAGGACGTGCTCAGCAGAAACCCGAGTGGAGCGGCCTGCTCAGGCCTCTCCCCACCAGCCAGCTGTGGGCCACCGTGTCACCCTGTCACCATGTCACCTCAGGCACCTCCGCTGCTGTGAGGACGAGGTGGCTGGGCAGGGCCACCAGGCAGGACGCCACAGCACCCTCTGCCCGCGTCCTCCCTCGGTGCCTGCAGGGCCATCAGGGGAAGGGCTCCTCCTCCAGGGGTCCCCAGCCCCCCAGGGAGCTCACCGGCCTGGACAGGGTCGTGCGCCCTCCCCAGGGCTCCCTGGCAAAGGGCATTGGGTTACCGCCGTTGGTGCCAACCCTGAGACCGGGCACCTTGAAACCTGGGCCAGCAGGGACCCTGTGGGTGGGGACGAAGAGGAGCAGCCTTCATCTGGCAACCAGCCTCTCCGTCCCCAAGCACCAGGCGTGTGCAGCAGTGCCTTGGAGCTCTGTGAGGGGACACTGGCCCTGCTCGGGAGCCCCCACTGCCCCAGCCCTGCCTGTGGTTCTGGACAATGCTGCCCAGGCCTCGGGTAGCAGGGGACTGAGGGGCACACCCCTGTCACTCCTGGCCACAGATCTTTGCTCATCTCCTTTCAGTGGGGGCTCCCAATCCGTCCCCTGAAGAGAGCAAAACACCCCCCAGCAACCCAGTGGGACAGGATTCAGTGCAGCGGGGGTGGGGCTGCTGGGGGCGGCTCCCAAGCAGAGCCCCCTCGTCCCCGTGACCGTCCCCAGTCCCCAGGTGCCTTGGGGGACTGTCCCTGCAGCTCAGTTGTCATGCCAATTGCAATAGACCCTTGAACTTCTAATCCTCTTCTGGGACAGTGCACAGCTGTCCCTGCAGCAGCCGTCTGGTCACCTGTTAGAAGGACTCATTTTTAAGAATGAGTCTGAGTACTTCCTTTTTGGATCCCAGGGACCTATCGTGACGGAGCCTAGGCCCAGAGCATAGTCCTGTCATTTTTTTCTTTTTAAAGCAAGGAGAGTCGGTGGCTTAAATCTATTTCAGCAAAGTGAGCTGGTGTTTACAGGTCATCTGGGTAAACAGTCTGTACTTTTCTGAAAAGAAAATGGAAAAAAAGACCCAAACCCAAAGCTTCGGGCTGTTTTACGGCTGCAAGCGCCGCTCCACAGCACCCTTCCAGCCCTTCAACTTGGAATGGCAAGCTGTGGACGAGGCCAACCGCTCACGATGGAGGTTGTTTCCAAGCAGAAATTATTGGGTGACTTGGTGGGGGCTGGCTGCGCAGCACGACTGTGGTGTCAATATGGTGTGTGTGTGAGTGTGAGTGTGTGTGTGAGTGTGTGTGTGAGTGTGAGTGTGTGTGTGAATGTGAGTGTGTGTGAATGTGAGTGTGTGTGTGAGTGTGAGTGTGTGTGAATGTGAGTGTGTGAGTGTGTGTGTGAGTGTGTGTGTGTGAGTGTGTGAGTGTGTGTGTGAGTGTGTGTGTGTGTGAGTGTGTGTGTGTGAGTGTGAATGTGAGTGTGTGAGTGTGAGTGTGTGTGAGTGTGTGTGTGAGTGAGTGTGTGTGAATGTGTGTGTGTGAGTGTGAATGTGAGTGTGTGAGTGTGTGTGTGAATGTGTGTGTGTGAGTGTGAGTGTGTGTTGCAGGGCTTGGTACAGAAGTGAGGGACTCACTGACCCATTTGTCCAGCAGATTTTCACTGAGCATCTACTATGTGCATGGTGCCACGCTGGCACTGTGGTGGGGCACTGCTGGGAGGGTCCCTGCCCACATGAAGCTGACCCTGAGTGGGGACAGAGATCATGTGTCACTGGGCAGCAGGGGTTTCAGAGAAGGGTGAAGACAGGTTGAGCTGCTCTTCAAGGATGGCAAGCCCAGCAGGTCAGGAGACGAGCTCCAGGGAGCGGGCAGCTAGCCACCGAGTTCCCAAGAGGGAGGGGACACACAGGGAGACACCAGGGTCAGTTAGCAGAGGGGAGGGGCTGGGGACCCGGCTAGGAGCCTTCACTGTGGAGGGCGTGGCAAGGGGGCCACCAGGCCGAGGACCCGCTGGCCTGGACAATCTCGGGGGCCTGGGCACAGGGATGGTCTCTAGCTTCTTGGTACCTGGCTCTGGGATGACCAGGGCTTCATGGGTGATACAGGAGGTGGTGGGATGTGGCTCTGGATGGGGGGTTGGCATGTGACAGGCACACTCCAGGTGAGTCGTTTCCTGTGCCCTGGGAGGACAGTCCCTGCAGGGTCACCAAGGTCCACCTCTCCAGGCTTCAGAATAGAGTGGACACAGACCGTTGCTGTTCTGGAGACTGGTCCCTCGGCGGGCGGCGGGGTGAACAGGCTGCGGGGGCGGGGGGTGGCGGGGCAGTGCTGGGGAGGACCTCCTGCCATGACCCGAGGGAGAGGACGGGCAGACCTGAGGGCCAGCCACAGTCACATCCCACCAACGAGGCCGGTCGGGGAGAGGGGAGGGAGGCCAGCGAGGCAAGGTGACCCTGTCGGGAGGAAGACTGTGTCTCTTCTCAGGAGGAAAACAGACGTGAGGCCATTTCAGCAAACGGTAAAGTGAGTAAAAATGATCTCTGCGTCCCCTGTCACCTGCCCGTGTGGGAACATTTTATTCCTTTTTTCACAAATTGCCAGCAGCTGTAGGGCAGTGGCGAGGCCAGCTCTGCTTTTGGGTTGTTTGCTTTGCCCCTGCTGCGACCTCAGGGCCTGGCTCCATCCCCGGTAGGGGTCCCAGCAGGGGACGATTCTCTGGCCCTGGCCCCCTCCAGTGCTGGTGGGATGCGGCTCTTGGCTCTGCTGTCCCCGCTGCTGCATTGCACCCCTCCCCCTCCTCCAGGTCCCCGTTAAATGTCACCTCTGGGCAAGTCCTTCCCTGACCCCACCGGCTCAGGAGGCTCTCCTCCACCTCCTGTGGCCCTGGTCACTCTCCGCCAGGTCACCCGAGTGCCCATCACAGATTGTTCTCTTCAACCACGTGCTCTCTCTCTCTTTCTCTCTCTCTCTCTCTCTCTCTCTCTCCCCATCACTGTTTGGTCCCCGCAGACAGGGGCCTGGCCCCAGAGGCTCGCTGCAGCAGGAGGGGTGCTGGGCCCATGCCGATGCCCTTGGTGGGGTGGCCATGGGCCTGCAGTGGCCGCGGGGTTAGGTGGTCAGCGGCACCCACGCTTCCTTGGAGACCTGTCCTCCTCGAGCAGGGCCGTCTTGCTAGGACGCACGATGGTTGGGGGGGGGGAACTGGACGGAGTGAGGCAGGTGAGGCCGAGGCAGGAAAGACGCAGACAGACCCTGTTTTCATTTAGAATCTCGTACTTTATTCATTGTGATCCGGGGCACTGTTTGAATCCTTGGGAATAGTGCATTAAAATACCGCTCATCCTGATGGCTGAGTTTTCTGGCTGCCCCTTAAATTCTGTGCCAGAGGCAAGTGCCCGGCTGGCCCCACCCTGGTCCTGGTCCTGCTCAGAGGGAGCCTGGGAATCTGCACTGTCACCAGCCTTCCCGGTGGCCCAGCACGGGTCTAGAGAAGGCCCAGCTAGGTCACAGATCAGAGATGACCACGTGACCCAGAAAATGGCACCTGGGGTGCCGCTCTGCCCAGAGCAGAGATCTCTACGCGGAGCCCAGAGCGTTCCTTGTCTGAGCCCCGGTCACGGGGAGGCCCCGGGAGAGGGGAGGGAACCCCGAACCCCGCCCTTCTCTGCTTCAGACTGACCTACAACGGGGCTGTGCACAGCTTCTCCAGGAAACATGGTCCCCTGCTAGAAAATGGCAGGAAAGCTTGAAGCTTCTCAACTGAACCCGAAGCAGCGGGCTAGGCTTCCTGAGTTCGCTTTCTCCTAATTAGGGTCCAGGGCCCAGGAGCCCACTTCACGGGAGGGTTGGGGCTGAGAGCCCGTCTGCTCGAGCTGAGGTCTGGAATGGCGGCTGATCCACACCTTGGCCTTGGTCATGAGGACAGAGCAGAATCTACAAGATGAGGTCAGAAATCCTGACCACTGTGACCCCAGTCTCTTCTCCAAACCCCCAGCTCTGGGCTCTTGGGGGACATGAGCCCTCCCTCCCAGCATTGCTCCCTTTAGGGCTCCCTCCTGCACCCATGCGCGTGTCCTCCTGGCTGCTGGCGCAGGGCTCCCTCTGATACCATCTGCTTGGCATTTCCAATGGCCTCTGTACCTCACTGGTACATTCAAGGGGGAAAAAAGGTCATCCCATAAATCTGAGGTGCTATCCTGGGGATGGCAGCGGCTGATCATGGTGACATCCCCCGGGCCTGGGAAGGTAGAGCTAATTAGTTAAAAAACTTACTTTGCGACATGAGTCACTGGAAGCAGGTGTCAGGAGAGCCATTAACGAGGCTCTCGTGACTCGGATGGTATTTCCACTCTGCCTCACCACGGGGGCACCGTGCTGAGATAGTGGGGCTCTGGGGGGTGGGAGAGAGGGAGGGAGGGAGGGAGAGAGAGAGGGAGCAGAGGAGACACTGGGAAAGGCATGGAGAGAGACGCTCCGAGGAGCAACCTCCAACATTAAAAACAAGTGCTGGAACCAAGTGCCTCTCCGGGCTTTGGGCCTCTCCTCTGTTCCCTTCACTGTTACGACAAATGGGTACGAGCCCCGGTCAGCCCCCGCCTGCAGAGGCGCCAGGACCAGGCCGAGCCATGTTGCCGAGTCCCTGCCCGTTGGCAGTGACCAGCTCGTGCCGAGCCAGACCATGGCTAAGTAGCAGGACCAGGGGAGTGGGGGGCGCTGGCCTGGGTTCTGGGGACAGTCGGGTCAGGGAAGCCTCCCTGGGAGGTGGCAGGAAGGGCGCTCCTGTCAGCGGGGCCTGCAGGTTGAGGGCCGAGGGGACGGCTGGGTGTGTCTGAAGAGCAGACCCGAGAGGCCGGTGGAAAGAGCCACGCAGGAGGAGGTCGGGGAGGATCCCGAGAGGACAGGGCCAGGGGCCCAGGGCGCTGGCTTTATCCTTGTGCAATGGACAGTCGCCCGGGGCGTGGGCAGGGCGGCCTCACCACCAGGCTCGTTTCCCGAGTGTGCTTCCTGCTGCTGGGCTGGGGTGGGGACGGTGGCAGGGCCTCTGGCGTGTAGGATGGAGAAGAAGGTGATGCTGCTGTACCCGCGAGGGGGCAGTTTGGGAGTGTGACGTGGGTGTGAAGCTCCTTCCAGATGCCCATGAGGCGCCACGGCTCGGGTCCTGGAGCTGCAGGGAACCTTCTAGGCGGGCCTCGTGCCCTCTCTGTGTGCGTCATCTACACAACCTGAGCTCAGGGAGCCGTCTGGTTCAGGCGGGTGCTCTGGAGGGCTCTGGGGCCACACGAGGGCCTTTGGGGGCTTCAGTGTGCTTCTCAGGCTGCCCAGAGCCGTGGGCCACCAGCCCAAAACACCCACCCGCCTCATGTTTGTGAGGATCCAGGTGGCATCAGGCATTTATTTTTCATGATACTAACACACACGAGGAGTGAAAAGACCACACTACGGGTTAGAGAGGGAATGAAGCCACTTCCCCTCTGGGGTCAGCAGGGCCAACAGGCCCCTGTGTGTCCTATCAACTGCTGGGAGTGCCTCGGGGACTCTGTTTGAGAAACAGGCCTCAAGGGGGAAAGAGAGGAGGGGGAAGGAGGGAAAAGGGCAAAAAGGACCAGCCTGGGTCAGGAGAAGCAGGGGGCAGTGCCGGGACCACCGTGTCCCCAGGGGCCCTTGTCTCCTCCAACCCCACAGCTGAGCCACCCCGGCCAACGGCCCTTTTACTTCCGGTGCCCCTGTGGGCTTTGCTCCCTCTTTCAAGGGGAGCCTGGGGGGAGGCGTTCCTTTCTGTCACCGGTTCCCTGTCCCCGGGCACGCTCCGCACCGAGGACAGACGTGCTGCGGTTGCTTGTCCTCTCTTCCAGGCACCTTGGAAGCGGGTTTTGCTGGGTGTTATTTACATGGTGGGCAGGATGAGCCGCCTCCCGGCAGGGGAACAGACTGGGGCAGCCGTGGCTGGACGCTGGGGCGTGAGCAGCTTCCCTCTCACTGTGGAGCAGAGGGCAGGGACCCTCTGCCACGTGGGGGATGTCCTTCTTGGGGCGGGTCCGGGCCATACTGATGTCTCTCTGGAGGCTTCTGCGGTGGATGGCTGGAGTGCGGAGGTGCGATGGCAGGCAGGGCAGGGTGTCCTCTGGGCTCAGTTGTTGTCTCTGGTGTCCGAGGAGGCACTTCCGAACAAGATGTCACTGTCCTGGGACATGCCGCTCAGCTGCGACTTGGTTTTGATGAGGAACTGGGCCCTGCGGAACATCACCCTCTCCTGCTCCTGCTTGAGCTCCAGGTAGGAGCGGGAGAAGGTGTGGAAGATGGACGTCACCGGGAAGGCCATGAGCAGGATGCCGCTGAGGATGCTGCTCAGCGCCACCACCTGGCCGGGGGTGCTCCTGGGCACCATGTCTCCGTAGCCCACAGTCGTCATGGTGATGACCGCCCACCAGTAGCAGGCGGGGATGCTGGTGAACTCGGGGCTGTCGGCCATCTCGTTCTCGATGACATAGAGGAGCGGGGCGAAGAGGGCGATGGCCACGCACAGGAAGAGCAGCAGCAGCCCGAACTCGCGGGTGCAGCGGCGGGCCGTGAGCCCCAGCGTCTGCAGCCCCAGCGAGTGGCGCGCCAGGCGCATCACGTACAGGATGCGCAGCGCCCGCAGCACGCGCAGCACCAGCCCCACCTTGTCCAGGTAGCTGTTGCTGGCGCCCGGCTTGCGGCGGCCCGAGGCCGCGCCGTCCACCAGCAGCGTGACGTAGTAGGGCAGGATGGCCACCAGGTCGATGAGTGTCAGCGGGCTGCGCAGGAAGGCGAACTTGCTGGGCGCCTGGATGAACCGCAAGAGGAACTCGAGGGAGAACCAGCCCACGCACACCGACTCCACGATGAAGACGTTGCGGCACATCTGGGAGCACTGGCCCTGGGGAGAGCCAGGGGTCAGCCCCCGCCGGGGAGGGCCGGAGCTCTGCCCTGCACTCGGTGGGCGCCCACCTGCTTCTCTGCGTGCTCTGGCCTGGGCCTCTCTAGCTCTGTTCCTACCCAGACCTCTCTCTCCTCGGCCCTGACCCCTGGCTCTCTGCCAGCGGTCTCTCTTGTCCCTTACCGCTTGGTGCCTCGACTCTTTGTGTCTTTGGAAATCTCTTTGGCTCTTGAGATAAAGCAGTGTCAGAAGCAGACGGCTGCTCTCTGTCCACAGCCTTATGGCCCAGCCTCCGCCCTCCCTCACCGGGACAGCTGCAGTCACTCCCCCTGGGCTCTCCCATCCCTGCAGGTACCCAGGGGGCGCCTGAGAACATGAGTTGGGTCCCTGTCCCTCCTCTGCAGGGCACCTTCATGGCTCAGAGGAACAGCGAGAGTCCTCGCGGAGCCCACGGCTGCCTCTCCATCTCCTCCTGACGCCCCGCTCTGTCCTCCCTCCCCACACCTGCTGCACCTCCCAGGCCCCCTGCTGGCTCCCCTAACACCTGGGTCCCCCCTCCAGCCTGGCCTGTGACTTCTTTCCTCCTTCCCAGAACACCTGCTCTCTCTCCTCCAGGCTGTGTCCCAGCTGTCACCTCCTCTGGAGACCTTCTGTGATCCCGTCTAGGCAGCTCCCCTTTTCCTGCATCCAGTCCCCTCACTCTGTCCCTTTGGTTGACAGTGCTCAAAACCTTCTCATAGGCTTTCTAAGTTGCTTATTTATATGTGTCTTGCCTGCCAGCATACCCCACCCCCACCCCACCCCCCACTTCCCACCCCCCCTCCCCCCCCTTACCCCCCCCCTCACCCCACCCCCACCCCACTGGGCAGGGCCATTTATACACGCTGCTCACTGCCTGGACCCAGTGCCTAGACAGGTCAGCATACAGCAGGTGTTTAATACATGGTGATTACAGGAAAGAACAGAAGAAGCTTGGGCTGGAGTTCAGACAGTGGTGGAATCCCTCAGCCATCAGGGCCCAGGCAGGCGCAGGAAGTGGGCTGGGCCCACTGCAGAGCCCCTTTCTCTTCCCCAGGGGGGTCAGGCTCAGGCTGCCTCCATGAAGCTCTCCAGAGAAGCTGGGAATCTGCAGTTTTATGTGACATCTGGGGATGGCTGTTGCTGACTTCAGTGTGGTGACAGCACAATACAGAACACTACTTCATGGGCCATAGTAACACGAAGGCCATCAGCTTAGGCCCCGGTCTGCAATATAACTGGACAGCAGACCGTCCTCGGAGGACTGGGCTCCTTCTGCAAAGGGGCCTTTGGCAGAGAGGAAAGGTGTGAGTGTCTCTGTCCAGTGACTCTGTGTGGGTCCTTGGCCATGCCAGGGTCTCCAAGTCTGGCTGTTAGTTTTCTCTGCCTGGAGACGGGAGCCATATTTGGCCTTCAGGTCTCAGTCCTCTGAGGCCTTCCTGGAGCACACCCCCTCTGATAGCCCCAGATGCCCGGGGGCCTCTCACACAGAGCCCCTAGCATGTGCCTCACACTTATGGGTCACGGGGGTTAGTGGGAGGCCTTGTCCTGGCCACCCTACCCTCCCTGCAGAGCCTGCATACAGAGGGCCCCCGAAATGAAATTGGAGAACAGCATTTTCTCTGAATCATGAAAAAAAAAGCCAGAAATTATTTTTAAAAATTCAATATCAGAAGTTGAATAAAGCAGTGGCTTTATTTCTATTTTCCTGTTAAAACTGGTATCAAAGTTGTTGGAACTGGGTTCCAACAGGGATAGGTTTCTCGTGGTGAGCCCCCTGCCTCTGGCAGGTGTGTGTAAATCCTTATTCACTACCTCTGGCTCACTTGTGCACCAGGCACCATTCCAATCACTCCACGTAGGCTCGCTCACGGAGTCCTGGCAACACTACCAGGTAGGCCTATTCATACCCCCATGGACAGGTGAAGAAACTGAGGCACAGAGAGGTCTAGTAACCTGCCTACACTTGCACAGCTAGAGTGTAAAAATGGGACTCAAATTCAGGCCTTCTGGCTCTAGCACTGTCTTTTCTGTCCCTGCTCCCTATGCTTATCAAAAGTTAATTTTGAAAGAAAGAAAAAACTTAATTTTGGCTGGGCCTGGTGGCACGAGCCTGTAATCCTAGTTACTCATGAGGTTGAGGCAGAAGGATTGCAAGGCTCAGCAATGTAACAAGACTGTCTCAAAATAAAAAAAGGCTTGGAGATATAGCTCAGTATTGGAGCACCCTGAGTTCAATCCGCAGTACAGGAATACAAAAAGAAAAGGTAATTTTTTGGTATGATGCTATTTTCTTAATACCCTTTAAAAATTCAATATATTGAAAAATACATATATTTTCAAGTGTATTTGAAAAACTTCAAAGTGCAACAACCTTCCATGTGTTGTAAATGCAACAGCTATTGCTACTTTCTCCACAGTCTCTGTATGTGGGAAAATCTTCTCAGGGAGAGAACTTCTGATGTTGTTAGAGACTGCATGTAAGACACTTAGCACATGCAGGGTATGCAGTCAGCGCTCGGTAAATGCCAGCTGGCATATTTATGTTCAGTTCACACCATCAGACCTATTTCTCAAATACCTATACATTTTGTGCCTGTCTGAGACCTTCTGGTCTCAGAACCTCCACGTATAGGGAAGGGATGACAAGTCAAAGGCCCACGGGTCCCAGGCACAAGGAGCCTGACTGGAGAGGACGTCCCCTGGGAACTCCACCAAGAGCTGCCCTAATGAACCCCAGGCCAGGGCGCCTGACCTTCCCATTTCCATTGTATTTTGCGGTGCTAAGGGTCAGACCCAGGGCCTTGCACAGGCTAGACAAGTGCACTACCACTGAGCCATGTTCCCAACCCCTGACCTTATAATTTTTAGAAGCTAAGAGTGCACATCGTTATTTGGAAAACATGTTACTTTTGAATGGTGGCTGCCGAGTGAAATTGTTCAGAACCCTTGCAGGCCAATCACAGCTTCTCTGGGGTTCTCCTGGGTCCCAGGCTACCGTGTGGTTGCACATGTAAGAACACAGACTGTGGCTCAATCAACCTGGGCTTGGCAGCCTGCTGGGCCTGCCTCCGTGTCCTCCTCTGCCAAGTGGGAGCGAGGACACTTCCCCCACAGGGTTACTGGAGGATCTGCAGAGAAGATCAGATGTAGGCGGAGCCACCGTCCCACTGCGGCTCCTGTGCTGCTCTGTCTCTGGGAGCCTTAGAATGGCACGCACCGTGGTGTGATGTCATGTAAATACACGCATTCTCCTATTTAACACAAAGACACCCTCACCATCTGGGGACATGCATAGACACATATGCCTAACAATAAAAATTATTTTTAAGACCCAGAAAATGTGTCTGGGCTACTGCTATGCCAAGGAATTCGGAAGGCTGAGAAAGGACTCAGTTGGTGAGGTGAGTTTTGATGAAACACATGATGTGCTTGGCAGGGACGTCACCACGTCACCTGTGGATTTGCTCACTCAGGCATTCAACCACAGTGGCCGGTTCCTCATCTGTGCTGCACAGGGTTCTAGACACTGTGGGATTGGGGGGGGGGTCACAGCAGGGACCAGGGTAGTCATGGCCGCTGGCCCTGGCTGGTATTAACAGGGAGGGCAAGCAGCTCCACGCACACACACACCGTGCAAGTGGCAGGATGTCAGGAGGGACTGGGGATGCTGGGAGGAGGGACAGTGGACTGCAGGGGGCAGAGTGGCCCAGGACACAGCTCTGCCTCCAGTCCTCCACCCCCTCCCTCGCCCTGGCCAGTCTTACCTGCTCCTCCTCCTCCCTCAGGCTGGGCAAGGTGCTGACGGAGAGGTTGACCGCGGTGACGGTGACAAACAGCACCGACAGGCAGGCGAACACCTTGCCGGGCAGCCCCGAGTGGGGCCTCTCCACCATGTCGCGCAGTCTCCGCATGCAGCGGCCCAGGCGGCCCTCGGCCCTGGCGGGGCCCTCGCTGTCGCGGCCCTCGCTGTCCAGCGGGTCCTCCTCGTCCTCCTGCTCCACCATCTCGGCGAACTCCTCGATCTTCTGCAGGTAGCGGCGGCGGCAGCAGCCGTCGAGGTGGTCCTCGGCGATGCCCCAGTACAGCAGCTCCTCCTGGAAGGAGAGCGCGCACATCTCCCGCAGCAGCCGCAGCTTGCCCGCCCGCAGGAAGGTGAGGATGGTGCCGAAGGCCCCCGGGTTGCGGTCGAAGAAGAACTCGTTGCAGGTCACGTCGTAGTCGTCGCACACGTTGAGGATGTCGTCGAAGTTGGTGCAGGCCTTGAGCTGGCCCAGCCGCGTCAGCGGGAACTCGTCCAGCGTGGTCCAGGGCAGCGAGTACTTGATGCCGCCCACGTTGATGATGATCCGGCGGCGGCGGTCCCCCGCGGGGCTGCCCGGGCAGGGGCCATCCTGCGGCCGCAGCCGCTGGGCGCGCCGGTAGAACACGCCCTTGAGGGACTGGCTCTGCGGGAAGAAGGCCGGGTGGAAGGAGGCGTCCGAGGTGCAGCTCAGGGCACTGTAGTCGTAATCAGAATTGTCTCCCGGGAGCAGGGTCATTTTGGGCCTTCACATCCCTCTAGGGCCTGGGGGGAGAAGGGAGGAGAGACCCTTGGTGACCCCCAGTGCGTCTGAGCCCCGCTTCATGGAGGGGGCGGGACTGAAAGCCCAGCCCTGAGCACAGGCAGAAGCACTAAGGGCAGTGGGATGGGCGGAGGACGGGAACTCTGGGAGGTACCAGGATGATGAGGACCTGGGAGTGGGGTCCTAGGATGTCCTTCCCAGGGGAGACACCAGAGTGCTGTCTCACCTCTTAAGGACACAGTAAGAAGTCAGTCTGCAACTCGGAAGAGGGTCCTCACCAGAATCCCCTTTGCTGGCACCTCCTTCTTGGACTTCCAGCCTCCAGAACTGTGACAAATAAATGCTTGTAGCTCCAGCGCCTAGCTGACGATACTTTGTTATTAAGATGTTCACTTAATAGTGAAAATAGCAACATTACCACTCAGCATCTCCTGACTACAGTTTTTCCATATTCATCTCATGAATGCCTTAGAAAGGTACAGAGTGCACGCCTGGAATCCCAGCGGCTGGGGAGGCTGAGGCAGGAAGATCTCGAGTTCAAAGCCAGCCTCAGTGAAAGTGAAGTGCTAAGTAACTCAGTGAGACCCTGTCTCTAAATAAAATGCAAAATAAGGCTGGGGATGTGGCTCAGTGTTCCAGTGCTCCTGAGTTCAATTGTAGAGTGACACTGTGTCCCTCAGGGCTTAGGAACCCTGACACCCAGCAGCAGTGCACAGGATCAGAGGTGGTCCCCAACCCTAGGAGCTGACCTCCTAGTGGATGGTTGGGCCAAACCTGTGCTGTTATTTACTCAACACTTTATTTTAAACTAACCCAGGTTTTTTTTTTTTTGTGTGTGTGTGTGTGGGGGTGGGGGTGGTATTTAGCTTGGAAAGGCAGTTTAGTACAGACCTGAGGTTCTCAACTAGGGCCCTCTCTGTCCCCAGGGGACAAGTGCCAATGCCTGGAGGCATTTTTGACTGTCAAAACTGGGGAATGCTAATGATGTCCTATAGGTAGAGGCCAGGGATGCTGTTAACTGTAGGACCATGAGAGCCCCTACAACAGGGGATTACCTAGTCCCAAGTATCCAAAATGCAGAGGAGGAAAAGCTCAGGTGAATGGGTCAAAAACAGGTTTCTGGAGCCACTCAGCTGGGAAAGGGACTCAAACTTGATGTTTCCATTTCCTCATCTGTGAAAAGGGCACAACCATGTGAGCCACCCCAGTCGTGTGTGCAGAGGATTAAGTGAGCCATATACACATGGGCCCTTCGTGCACACAGAGCGGGCACCTGATAACAACTGTCACCCTTATTGTTGGTATTTATGTCACAGTAACTCCTGTATTGTTTCCATAGATGGGAAACAGTATCACCTGCCGAAAGTCAGAGGCGAGAGACAAGACACACTTAGTAACCAAGACAGGGCCATGTTTGTTTATGTGACAGCAAATGCCACTTCGAGGATGGCCTGGTGGCCTGCCAGCCATGCCTGCTCCTCCAGTGAAATCTCCTGTCCCCGCCCTTTGCCATGGTGAATTGGTCTCCATGGCACCACCCAGTTTTGGAATCATCCATGTACCAGCCTGGCTCCCTCCCTGGGGGAAGGAGAAGGCCTAATTCATCTTGAGTCCCTGTGCCTAGCAGGGTAGGAGCTCAGAGAAGGGGTGGCTGCCTAACTCCATTTCCAGCCAATGAGGCCAACAGCTTGAGGGTCCTTCGGGGAAACTGAGGTCAGAATATCAGCTGGCCTGGACTCCTTCCTTCTCGGCCCTCAAAGCTAAGGGCGGCACTACTACATTGAAGTTGCTTATTCATCACCAGCTCTGGGGCTGAGTTTGGTTCATGAATATTTTGCTTGGCTTGGAGAAGTTTCTGAAAATTGAGAAATTTCATATAAAAAAAATCCTTGTTCTTGGCATCTCTCGATGTCAAGAATATCTGGCAAGGCTTGGCCCAGATCCCCACTGAGGAGTGGCAGGGCAAGCAGGCTCTGATCTACCTCAGTCCCCACTCCTCCTCATCGTCTTCTTGACACCCACTCTACCTCACTTGTGTGTTTTCCTTCCTGGCCCTGTGGACATCTGAGTTTGAGACCCTGAGGTCACCCGATAGGCTTCTCCAGAATTAAACGGATGCATAGAAAAAGTAGTAAGAACCTAACGCTTGGTTTTAGAAGCCCCATTCCCCACGCAGCCCAATCCCCAGGGGAAGCAAGTGCGGCGAAGTGCACACGCTCGAAGGGTGTGCAGGGCCAGGGTTTTCACAGGAGCCCAAGGTGGGGGTGGTGCCCCCGGGGAGGGCCCCTTCCCAGCAGCCACTGCTTCATAAGGCATATCCCGGCTCTCATCTTGGGGGAGAGCTGGTTTCACAGCCTGGTTTGGTTTGCAATACTTCCTGGGTTTAGAGGGGGGAGCATGGGAACCCAGCTCCTCTGGCAGAGCCTGCCGGGCTCCCCGGGGGCGTGGGAAGAATCCCTCTCAGGCACTTCACTCAGCGATATTGCTTTTTAGCTTTATCGCTGCCACCGAAGACAAGAGAGAAAATGACATTCTGTTTGGCAAGAATGGTGATGGAAGCAAAGGACCTTCTTCTTGCCCAGCCCGAGGGCTCCTGCTGTGGAGCCCAGCTTGCAGCCGCCCTTCTCTCCAGGAACTTCTCCCTCTTCTCTGCGGCTGGAGGCTGGCACAGGCTCCCCCAAGGCTCCCCCGAGAGCCACTCCTCACCTCTCCCCCTCAGGCCCCTCCTTCCGTTAGTGCTGAGCTGGGTTTCCAGTGCAGACCTGTCCCAGCCAGCTTGGGAGCAGAGGAGGGCTACTCTGCAGAGGGCAGTAGTGCTGCGTCGCATCCCCCCAAGCCAGAGGCCCAGGAGGGCCAGAGGCTGGGATTTGCTGAATGGGGGATGGGCACATTTCTCTCTGGCTGTGGGTCTTGCCTGTACCCCACCCATTGAGAGTGGGAGAGAATCTCTAGACTCTAGAGTCAAGTTCATCAATCAAACAGGCCCCGCAGCCTGAGCTGGGCAATAATGCTGCTTTCACCCAGCCTCATGCCCTCCCAAGACACGACATCTGTCCTTTCTCCTTTGCTGGCTCTAGATCCTGGTGGGGGAGCTCTGGGGAGGGGCTGCGGAGGTGGGGATGAGAAGTCCCATGGGAGATGTCATCCACTCGTTCCTGAGCATCCCAAGTGTTGGACGCTGGGCCGTGTCTGCAGACACTGCAGAGAGCAAGACAGACCCTACCCCCGTCCTCATGGACTTCTTGTTCCGGGGGAACACAGTCTCCAAGGACATATGCCAAGGACTTCCAGCTGCAGTGAGGGCCGTGACGGAACAGAGCCAGGTGACAGGTGGAGAGCCACCACGGGGTGTAGGCAATGTTAGCTGGAGGGTCAGCAAGGGCTTCTGGAGGAGGGGACGTGGGGCAAAGCCTCATGCAGGGGGAGGAGTAGCTCCTTCCCCCACCTGAGGGTGGCCTTGGACGATCAGAGACCAAAGAGAAGGCTGAGGGGCTGGGCACAGGGCGGGATGGGAAGGAGGGCGGCAAAACGTGGAGGTGGGCGGGTGCCAGGTAGAGGAGAGCTGAGGCCACTGTGCGGGGCTGGGAGACTGGGCTGAGGAGGCGGAGGCCATTCTGGGAAGAGGCTGCCGAGGCTGAAGCAGTGGAGGGGACTGAGGAGCTGGATGGGTAAGGGATGGAGGTGGAGGAAGAGCTGGCAGGACTCCCTGAGGCAGAGAAAAACAACGCAGGTGATCCAGGCAGTGCCATGTACCGAGGTGACAGGTAGGTGGCGCTGTGACAAGCATGCTCCAGAGGCAGCATCTCACAGCATCCTGGCTGAGGGATGATGGACGGGGAGGACTTCGGGGAAGGAGAGGGTAGGGAAACGGCCTCCTGTGCGACAGTCCAGACTCCAAAAGCTGATCTGACTGGAGTGTGTGTCAGCTGACAGGGACCAGGTCACAGAGCTGTGGTGAAGGCCAGAGGCAGGAGCCTGGCCTGTGCCCAGCACCCAGAGCCAGCTGAAGCTGCACCCATATCAGGCCCATGAGGTCAGTACAGCCAGACACCGCAGGGGGGTGTGGCAGGTACACAATGTCCCCCAGGTGTTCACATCCTGCTCCTGATTCCTGAAGTCCCTAATTCACTAATTTCGGGGTCAGTGAACATATACAGAGAATTTGCCCCACTGTCCAGTAGGGAGGGATGAAGAGCACAGAGGGAATTGGGGCTGGGGAGAAGAGGATGCTGAGGTCAGGAGATCATCTTGGGTTATCTGAGTGGGCTCATGTGACAACAGGGTCCTTCTGTATGGAAGAAGCAGGCAGGAGAGAGTGTCAGAAGGACATGGTATGAGATGGCTGGACAGCCAGATGGAGGGGCCAGGAGCCAAGGAATGTGGGTGGCCTCTACAGGCTGGGACAGGCAAGGCCAGGATCCCCCAGAGCCTCCAGGGAGGGCACAGCCTTGTCAACTCCCGAGCTGAGCTCAGCCAGACCCTCTGTGATCCTCTGGCCTCTGACCTGTAAGGTCATCAATTTTGTCTTTCTTCAGTTTGTGGCAATAGAAGCAGACTACAGGGAGGGCTGAGATAAAGCCCTCCTCCCCTGGGGACAAGCTGCTGACTACTGTAATTGGGGATGCAAAAGAGCCCAGTGGCTTTGAAATCAGGAGACCTGGGTTCAAGGGCAGGTGTGCTGACTTTGGCAAGGTAAGCTTCACCTGAGATTTGGTCTCCTCATCTGTAAAATGGGGATATGAATAGCTCCTTGAATCATGGTGAGGACAAAAGCAGGTGACATGTTTGGCCCAATGGCTGACACACAGTGAGTCCTCAAAGGATGCCTGCTGTATAATTATTAGCTATGGGGAGAGACTGTCATCCACCCTCACCCACCAGCCAAAGGTGTCTCCTGTGGCCTGATGCCCTGGGATATGAAGCCAGAATCATCCGCTCCAGAATCCATGGCCGGGGGAAGTGCAGCCTGGTGCAGTCCTTTGGGAAAGCACTGAGTGGTACC